CAGTCTCAATCTGGAGAATGATTTGCTATTACGGAATTTTAAGAAAATGTCTTGAAATTTTTGCATTTTTCTTTGTTCTGAAACTAAATTAATTAATCTTTATGAATCCATTTCATAGCTTTGAAGCATATAAGCTTCGTAATCATACTTATTTGTATAGAGCTTTTATGTATTATTAAAATCTAACCAACATTGAAATAATGATTGCATTATTAATAAAAAGTACTGCCTAACAAGATAGAGGTGTAATACATAATTTTGTTGTTAAAAATTATGTTGAAAAGGAAAGAATACAGAACACATTGGGTGCAAACCTATTCCTGCTACATCGATACTGAGAACGTGTCCTATGACCCACTTTGACGTGGAAAATGACCGACAAAATGGTATGTTTGCTCCTTTGTTTGTCAACACACATTGTTTGTTGATCCATTAGAACTGAGGCCGTCGGCGTAATTCCGATATTACTCACTGAAACATTGGACTACGGTCAACTCTACTTTCAACGAAAAGTGTGAATAACTAACGATTTGATTCGTTTTCACTAAAATTTCGTAAAGTTAATGCAATCTCCTGTTTCAAATTTTACTGCTCAGTTAAGACTAAGAGTCGTTCACACGTGCGCTTTTTCAAAGCGCGTTAAATGATCCCGATGTAGCCCATAGTATTCTTTTACACTGCGGCGGTCTTTTAACGCGGCGTTTTTTGGATATCTAGGAGCATTGAATGTTGTGGTATTGTATTGTATAAGCTACGGATGTCAAACTGAAAGTTGAAAATAGCATATTATCCTTTGGTAAATTTCTTCTTGAGCTTGAGCTTCTTAAGATTCTTGAAAAGAATCACAATAATTTTATACGATTGGATACAGAACAGAGTACCTATGAACAACTATATCGAGGACATTTATCAAAGAAAATAGTAGAAACAGCACTTCATTCACTATTACTATTTGATAAAAAATAACTCCAAAATATACTCTTTATTAAATACTGTTTCCCTCTATTATTTTCTGCCTTTCTTACTGTGACAATTTTAGTGAGTTTAATTTTAAATTATAATAACTTAAACTAATCCATCTAAAAATATCCTTAAGAAAACCAAGTGATTATATGAACTTATAGGTAACCGTTATGAGACAAAAATGCACACTTAAACTTCGTGGCTTCATTTACTTGGAGTAAATATATTAGTAAACATTTGCTCATATTCAGACTGCTTAAGCGGTACCTTTGGCAGGTATGTTCTCAACTATTTGCGAACCTCCGACAATTGAGCGGATAAACTAATATGTACTACGTCTAATGTGTAAATACATTTTTCTACGGACAATGACAAATTTTATTTGAAAAAGAATATGCATAAAATATGGGAAAATGGAAAAAAATTAGCAATGTACATGTAATATTACTGATACATATATAAGTAAGTATTAAGTATGTTCATAGAGAAATATATATTTAACATCCATGACTGGAGCAGAAATGTTCGTATTCATCACACAAACATCTGCTCCCACCGGGATTCGATCCCGGGATATCTCGAGTAGGCGACACTTTGGAACCCGACGTACAAACCACTCGGGCACGGAGGTCGTCAAACCTTAATCGGGTACCTACCTATTTTAGTTATTTCATTATAATCATAACGTGGCTGTTGGTTTCTTTCAGAAAGCGTAGATAATGTAGAAATAAAAAAAAAGATGAATCACTTAATTAACCTTTTAAAATCTACTGTAACAAACGAAATGTTTACACACGCGAAGAGATATTTAGAACAGATATCATCAATGATAGATATTTTCTTATAAATTAGGGTTAACTGCCAGTAATTCGACACCAAATACTTATTATTGAAAAATTTAATCATCAATCATCAAAATCAAAAAGCTAAGAGGTTAAAAAAAAGATACATAGCAGTATTAAGGCCCTCCCCCTTTTTAAAGTTGGTTATAATGTTTCATAAATCTGTTAATTTAAACTATCAAGTCTATTTTGTCCCTTTATAAGCAATTTTTAAATTTGCCGCTCTTTTGGAGGGTCACGATTCATTCAAATCCCAAGTAATATTCAAACCTGGCTAAATTAAAATCGACCATTAAAAAATCACTTGTTAAGAAAGCTTATTATAAAGTGTCTGATTACATACATTACAGACAAAAATGCTTTAGTTTGAACTGTTCCAACCATTCCAACGGATATTTCTATATGATATATATTATGAATCATGTGTTGACGATACTTCTATTGAATTTAATAGCTGTATTTAAAGTTGATTACTTAAGGAAGAATATCAGACTATTTTGGAACATTTGATTGACAAAACGGCGTGGTCATGATTTCTCCATTGTTTTTGCTTTTGTAATTGTTTGCAGTGTCATACAGGTAAAGTACTTTTATTTTAAGTAAATATGTTGTGGTTAATATAGGTGGTTATGGGTGGTCATGCTCTCTTAAAAGTCTCTTCGGTGGTGTCGTGTGGCGGATCCTTACGTTCCCTAAAATATGGATGAGCGAAGCGATGGCTAGTTCATGCGTCATGCTCGTGAACGGTTGCTGCCAGCGGAGATGAGTCTGCCCTAAATACTTTGATATTTAAGATGTAAATGTCTAGTTACACCTCATATAAGTAACACAATTTTTATTTATACTGTATGACACAGCAATCAAAATGCAGGTAAATAATTAATGTATATTTAATCATAATGTAATGAAAGGTTATTTCATGAATCATCTCTGAAATTATTTTTCATCTTGACGACTCTGTGTATAATAAAAAAGGGAGAAAAAAATAGCCCTTACTGAGTTTCTTGTCGGTTCTTCTCAGTACAAGGTCTACCGCCGTAGATTTACGAACCGACGGTGTAGCTTCTAGACATTCATAAGTGGTTGTAACAGCCTAAACTGAATAAATGATTTTGATTATGATTATTATGATAACTCAAACTCATTTATTCAGTCTAGGCTGTTACAAGCTCTTGTGAAAGTCATAATTATTAAACAGACTCTAACAATTCAATTGGCCAATGAACCCAGAATGTAGGAATTTTAATATATTTTATTTGACGATTTCTAATAATTTATCAGCATCAAGGTCTCAAATCAAATTTCTCAAGAAATAAAACTAATAATAAAATATATTACCTCAAATAAAAATGTACTCAATAAAAATATTAAGTAAAATTATTTATCCTTATTTAAAATAATTATTTGTATATCAGACACAATCCGTTAAAGTTATAACAGTGATAAATCTTGTATATACATATTTCTATCCACAAAAAAATGAAAAAAATTGCAAGTTCTAAAAGATATTTGATAAAATGTTTGATTACAAATATTTAAACTCTGTCGTCATATGTAGGTTTATGTAAGTAAATCATTTAGAACAATAGGTGCTAAATATATTTAATGAATAAAGCAATCACCGGATCACGACCACAAATAACCGAATGTTCCATTGGTTTCTGAGACATTAAACAATATGACTGAAAAACTATTATTGTGCGGTTTCGTCAGTATTTCCAGATTAGAAATTACATAACGTAACATAAATTGTTTTTAATATTTCGTTCTTCTTTGAATTCATAAAAATATTTCGGTCTCATGTTTAAAATATTATGTTAAGAAACATACAGTCAATATCTGATAAATATAGCGAAAAAGCTTCCCAAGCTAATGTCTCAGGATTTCTAATACATACATACACATATATGTGATATTTTATTTTAATAAACTGAAATTGTAAATAATGGAAATAAGCAGCGGTCAACCACAGTCCGCCGGCAAATTGGCATTAAAGTGTATGACATGCCGTTTGCACTGTTTACTGCTCACGCCTACTTGCAGCCGCTATCATCAGGGTTGTAACGTTGTAAGCAATATGAAATAACTCATATAAAAGTATTTATTTAATAGTTTTCTTTTAAACGATACCATTAAACAAATTAATTGCCGAGATGTTGTAGAGAATGTAGATGTTTTGTAGCGGTTAAACTTTAAATAAGTAAGTATTGTAATTTTTGAATAAAATTTGTTCAATTATAACCAATATAATCGCTCGAACTTATCTTATATTTATGTAATAAATATCACAAACCTAATTTTAAATAGCAACTAACTGATGAATATTTTAGAATTGTTGTTCCTACCGACTTATTAGTTGACTTATTACTTGATTAAGATAAGCAAGACATCAAAATGAAAATAATATGAGGAAATTTATTGAACATATCATAAAAGTATCATATTAGTATTAAGATTAGTAATATAGATAATATATTCATATTTATTCATGCTTTCTGCGTTTTTCCGTCACATTAATATAAATACCAACTCAACACCGACGTTTTACTAACAAACGCAATGTTAAGTTTGACATAAATACTTTTGCCAACTACCCTTATTAAAAAAAATAACTATTAAAGATTTATTCATAACAGTATTATAGCTACCTACTTAAATTAATGACAAAACATTCCAAACAAACGTTGCGCGCTAAAATGAGTGACAATGAAGTAACCCTCGACAAAAGTTTTCCGTAAGCATCACAAAGTACCATGAACGACAACGCATGACGGAGAATGCCTTCGACACCAAGTTTTATGGCGGCCATATATTTACCGAAACTGGCATCAAAATTGAAAGGAATTCATCATTCATCAATTAGTTACAGAGTCAAAATATTTGTTGACAAAGCCTGCATAATTGTAGTGCTACAATCGGAAACACTCGCTACGAAGCTACCGTAACGCCCGCAATTTGTGCTCATTGTTCCACGGACGTAATGTTTACATTGCCGATTGTCCGTACCCGCGCACTAAGGAGCTGTTTTCAAAAACAGAGGACACTTCTCAAAAGCCATTGTTTCCGAATAGGAATCTGACATCTCGCGACGAGGACGTTCAGCACTCGTCGGGAACCATCGAATACTTTACAGCACTTCACGGCGAACGGCGCGCTTCAGCGAACGGCCGTGCCCGTTCGAGATGGTGGACTCACCTGTGTCATGAGGCGGTCGGCGCCTGTTCCCTCGTCATCTTTGAAATCGATGTCCGGGTTGTAATTGGGCACTAAGTCTTTGAACTTGTCGTCATCCCTGGTGATGCGGCCCTCCGGGGGCCCGCTGGCAGATTTGTTGATCTCGCTGTAGTTAGGCTCATGCTGCCGGTACACGAGCGGGTAGATGCGCCGTGCGGGGTGGCGGCGGTTGGAGCCGCGGCTCGGGCCGCACGCCGCCGCCGCGCCCAGCCACAGTAGCACCACGGACAGCCTCATCTCGCAGACATCACTTCACGCGCGCTCGACGCACGACCACCGCGCGCCGCAACCTGAGCGACACTGAACGGAGCCCGAGCCGGCCGATCCTCCACCACGGCTGCATCCCTTGTCCGCCCGCGCTCGCCGGCCGCCACCACCGCAACCCGCCTTTCATCTCACCGGAAAATCATATTGTTTCCTTTGCAATGACGTTGCACACGCCATTTTCGGATAATAGCACGATGGCCCTTTTGTTGGACTTTGCGAAACCAAACATAATAATGTGGTTAACAATGTCATTTAATATAAAGAGTAGGTACATAAAGTTAGAACGGCATCTAGTAGACGGTGTTAATACATTTCCATCTTTCATTGCAATTGTTTATTCTAAAAATATTTGCATCATTTCCTAGTTATGACAACTCTCCCTATTCCATTCACAGGGAAGGTCTGTTTCCCTACAGTAAGGACATTAATAGGCTGATGATGATGATGGGTTATGATAAATACCTTATTGTCAACGCAGGCAGAGAGGTTACTTGTTCGTTACCCGTTTGAGTCGTAACGCTCATTTAGATGTAAACAATCATATTATTATTTTATACAAAATCATAAATCAAACATAAAATAAGTAGTTAAGGCTTCAAGGTGCGATAATGCTTCCATTTAAATTATGTAAAGTTTAACTACATAATTAAAAAAAAACATCAATTTTAGTTGACAAAAAACCTAACATTACTGCGTTTTAGGCACAGTACGTAAATGATGAAGGAATTTTTCAGCATTGTGAAGCCTTAACTGGAATCGGTGAAATTTAATTGATGTGAGACTCAATCACCATGTTATTGTGTGGCTTCACGGCACGACCAAAGTCCATCCGAGACGTTGTTTAGAAATCTGTACTAAGATAACCCATTACCTTCGCTTAAGGAAAATGCTGAAAATAGAGAAAAAACATGATATCTTATTTACTAGTAGGCCATTTAGAAGTTTGCATATGTTTTGTATTTTAATATAAACATAATATACGATTCTTTTTCCAGACTTTATCTATGGATTATCCAAACCTGAAACGATTATATTCAGAAAATTACTAACAAACAAAATAATTTGAACCAAAAGAGTCAAACCCTTGTAAAGTGATGATGATAACCTTTCGTGAAATTTTAATTTATACATAGTGGTGGCCATGTACAATAATGCTGCTTGATCAAGTGGCTAGATCAAATAGAATTGATTAAACCAAAGTCCTGCCTTCGAGTGGCATGTCCTTCCAAAATGTCTCCCCAGATCAAATAGGATTGATCAAGCCACTTGAGGCAGTATGGTTTCCAAAAGGGGAAAAGTACAACTCAATTGCTTAGTAAGTTTTTTAAATGATAAATTGCATGGTTTAATAGTAAACCTATATATTGACTTTTCTAAAGCTTTCGACGTTTTCAATTATGAAATATTATTTTTAAAAAGGATCGCAAAAAGGAATACAACAAATGAAAAATTATCACACGAACAGATTTGCTACAGTCAAAATTTCAAATAAAGTTACTAGTATGATTCCAACTGATAGTGGCACGGCTCAAGGCTCCATCTTTGGCCCAACTATATATTTACTCTACGTCAATGATATGGTGAACATAATAGGCACGGGCCATGTATACCAGTTTGACACCTGCCTGGTTGAAGCTAGCAAAAATATTACAGAAGCTCAACAACAAATGCAAAAAAAATGGTTTGTTATGTAAATGGGCCCACGATGTGGCACTATTAATGCTAAATGTTAAAATAATAAGCTTTTGCATGTTCACTCATCTCACAACGTGAGTACCACAATTCCTAATATTATTTCTGATAGCCATGACTGCCTCCACGCACCGGTGCCGCAATGCACTTGTGAATGTATTGAAAATGTTAAAAGTCACACTTATATTGGACTTGTGATCGATGGCAGACTCAGCTGGGGTCCACATATAAACCATATCTGTGCAAAGTTAAGATCTTCGTTTACTAAGTCAACTCATAAAACAATCCTGAAGCATAAATTACCTTACAGAATTTAAAGATTATTGTATCATCACTAGCTGATTCTGTCATTGGTTACGGTTTGTGTAGTTAAGGCAGTTTATATCATAATTACCTTCAAAAAATATATAAAATACAATGAAATATGCTTAAGACCGTTGTACCGTTAAAAAATAAAGTACATAGATGATGATAAAGGATTGTTTAAGCACTGTAATATTATCAAAATATATGATAAAAATAAGTATTTCGTTCTTAAAGAGCTGCCTGACCCAGAAAATTTATTAGTAAATTATCAAAGACCATTAAATCTCAGGAACTTAAAATAAAAATAAATAAATATATCCAACACTCACACCAATTAGCCTAGTCCCAAAGTAAGCACTTAAAGGCTTGTGTTACGGGATGCTAGGGTAACGGATAGAATACATATATACGTAAATTTATATAGAAATACATATGAAACATCCATGACTGGAGTACAAATGTTGGTATTCATCACACTAACATCTGCCCCCACCGGGATTCGAACCCGGGACGTCTCGAGTCGGCGACACCATGAAACTCGGCGTACAAACTACTTACTTACTACTCATAGCTTAAAATAATAATGTATTTATAAGTACAAAGTACAACAATATTTATGGTACCAGAACTTCTAAGTATTTATGACCCTTATTTACCAATGAACTACAAGAGACTAATCAAAATAAAATGAAATCTTCTAGAAACTTGTGAAATTTTTTAAAATGTATTTTTAAGAAAATCAGGCAGGCTATTTGGCATACCTGCCAGTGGAGCGACTCTGCAGCACAGATAAATCTTTAAGGTTTTTGTGCTGTAATAATATTGTTTAATGTATACAAATTAATAAATAAATGTTTTTTTTTAATTTTTAGCAAAAAGTACATTCACACGTTATAGACTACGTTTGTGCAAACAATTTTACGGACAGATTACGCAGCAACAAAAGTGATATTCACAATGCAAGAAGAGGCATATCTACTGCCATAACTTGTCTATACCAAAAAAATGGTTCTATCCTATTTTACCAATGTTTTAATAAAAATTGGTATATTGCCAATCATCATCGCCAATAAAGGATTCCGTAGCAACAAATAAGGTCAATGTTGAATAACCATTATTGCATTTTTGTTGAATATTTTACGGCTGTGGATATTTCCCTGTCAGCCTTTCAGTAGTTGTGCAAAAAAACAGAAAAAGTCACATTGCATCTAATGTAGTTATAAAAAATAATTCAATTAATGATGACTCCCTTTACTTTTAAAATTAATTTTTATTGTTGTTATAGTGACAAAAGGTATAATTTCCTTCATTTTCTGAAATCTACAACTGCATACCACTTAAATTCTGCTACTAATTTCTAAAAAAATCCCGATTCCCACAATCATCCTATTAAATCCTATTAATTCTCAATCACGCAAAAACGGCTGAACAGATTTGGATTAAATTTGGCACAGATGAGTATAGTTTATTATCTGAACTAGCAACCGCCCGTGACTTCGTCCGCATGAACTTTAGTTTTTTGAGAAATAATTGTATGGGAAACCTATTTTTCCACGCATACGAAGTCGCAGATACCCACTAGTACTTATATGAGTAGCCTATTGCTGACTTGCCCAAGGTGTTGATGATAAGCGAAATAATATATACTTTATAACGTCACGTCAACAAGTATTTCCTAACTTTCTGTGGCATGTTGTGCAACCGCGAATATTGTATCTGTGGTTTACACGGGAATGTAATTGAATAATCCCAAAGTTAAATAACTCTCTGTAAATTTCAGAGGTAAACGATGGTCGTGTAGCGTGAAGTTTAGAATTCGCTGTGCCGATTATTTATCGATATTGCCGTGCCGTGAGGTCGTCAAGTAAGTTATTGAAGAAGTAACGACTCTTTGTTTGGGTGTGTAATGCATCACTTTGTAAGATATAACCATTATGTTGAATGGATCCATACAAAGTTCACGCATTTTCGTAAATGACACAAAGTGAAATACTGAACTAACGATTTTCGATAATAAAATTGATAGGTATTTTAGTGTGCAAAATTACGTGCTTATAAAATGTTGATCATGTGATTCTTGTAATATGTAAAAGTTTGTTGGTTTGAATCTTGGTTTGGGCGTCAGCATTTTTTGGACCTGAGTCATGGATATTTATATTTTTTATTTTAAGATTATTTGGGTGCTCTGGAACACAATAATGTTTGAATGGATATATTATATTGTATTTGCATATACAATTTGGTCTCCAGTAATATCACTTTTTCATTACTTTAAACAGTAAGAAGGTAACAATAGTATCAAATTTCAATGCTTTTAATGCGTTTAATTTATGAAATATAGCTTATTCGACCGACGACCTCCGTGGCCGAGTGGTTTGTACGCCGGGTTTCATGGTGTCGCCAACTCGAGAGATCCCGGGTTCGAATCCCGGTGGGGGCAGATGTTTGTGTGATAAATACGAGCATTTGTACTCCAGTCATGGATGTTTAATAATGTTTTTCTATATAAATATACTTATATATGTACTGTGTATGTATTCTGTCCGTTACCCTAGTATTCCATAACGCAAGCCTTACAGTCCTTACTTTGAGGCTAGGCTAATTGGTGTGAGTGTTGTAAATATTTTTATTCATTCACTTATAACTTTCGACCAGGCGAGCAGGGGGATTTATAAAATGTGGCGATTCCCATAAGGGAAGTCATACTGTCACCAAAAAAATAATTTTTGGTGACAGTATGACTTTGGGAAAAAGAACTACAATATGAGCTTTCAATATTAGTCGCTACACATTGGATTTCGGGTGTTTGCTGGGATGACAAGAAAGACTTTCAACACATTCACGTCGAAATCAATTAAGTCAGATAGGATCTATGTCTTCTAGCAATAAACTATATAATAATCTCTTATTATAGCGTATAGCGGATTTTCCGCTCGAATTGGAGCGTCCGTCCGTCTGTTTCGGCCGGTGTGTAAGGTTCCAGGGCTCCACGGGGTAGGGGATTGGATCAAGGTAGGCAATGGCTACGGCGGAAGGGCTCGATGGCGCAAGTGGTTAGCGCGTTCGGCTGCGATCGTTGAACTTAAG